ATTTTATATGATGACAAATTTTTCATTTGTTTACAATAGTAACGTAAGTTACATCTATTCAATTCATGGTTATAGTAGGGCGACATGTCATATATGATGCCGCTTCTATTGTTCTCAGCGTCTTTAGATAACATAAAAATTAGATGATCCGTTTCCGTAGAATGATGTTTTGATTTGTTACCAACACTAAGCTTTACCTTGTTTATCTTTAAGTAGTGTGTCCGTGTTTTTGTGAGTGTGTAGTTGTTTGAGAATTCAGTGACTGCAATCCTATTAATATTGTGCATGGACTCAGAGGTCTTAAGGTATTATTATATTTTAAAGAATCTATGGATGTTTTTATTAGTTTTAGGTCTAATGTAGAATCAACATAAATTTAAAGCTTTTTTTGTTTTGTTTTTGAGTATTGTTTAGCTATTTAAATATTTCCTTTTAACTATTTGTAGATTTTTTGAATATTTTGGACAACTTCATACAAAGTCAGAGCTAATCATGGTTAAATATTTGGATGACAACTAACTTTCCGGTGGTTTTTTTATTTTATTTACCAGCAACCATTTAGACATTAAATTTTATTAATTAAATAAAATTCTAAGACATTAAGCTCAATGTACAGATGTCAACTTGCCTCAATATCTTTCCCATACTTAAAACTGTGTTTCACAGATGTTGCACTGAGAAAAATGCAGCCTACCAAAAAAAGTCAGATATGGTAGATGTCATATTCCGAAGACCAACCATAGAGATTAAAGAAGGTGGAGCTCCACCAACTAACATGAATGGAGGGTGGTCTTGAAATACCAGCAGAATGGTGGATACCAATCAAGGTCAGGTTGGTGGCCGGGATACAGCAGCAGCTTTACCCCAACCAGCAAGGACCAATCCTATTAGTAAGTAGCTTAACCTCCTTGGGTATCCATGTGTAGCAGCTGCTCGTCAGTTGTCACTCTGGTTCGAGTTAGAGACCGAGAGTTAGTTTAATAACTTCTGCATGAGTTAAAGGGAGCACTATTCTGTTAAGAATTGGTTTGTTTATCATATATTTTCAGTCTTTTATCAATATAGAGACAGTTCATAAAACTATAAGTTGAAAAGAGCTAATCAGAATTCATTGATTTCAGGGAAAAATACCATATCTTGATGGAAAAACATTTCCTCGTTGGTTCTTGGCAGCTTGGACCAGATCAGCAAGTGAAATATCTCCTCTTCTTCTCTCTTTCCTTATCAGTTCCAATTCCAGTTTCCCAAGCTTGGCTGCAACTGAAACCACTATATCTTTTTCCAATAGCAAATTTACAAAAACGTGTTTTCTTCTTGAGAATCTGACAAAGACAAATACACAAAACCAAAGAATCATCAAGTTTGTTTCTTGTTTTGTCTGAGGCGTCCAAGGAATAGTTTATTTTACCTTAGTGAGTCCCTTCTTCCTTTTAGAACGTGAAGGGGCTTTTTCGTAGCTGTCCCAATCAAGTTCTACTTCGTCACTTCCTCCTTCCCTTGCAGCTTCTGTAATGTTCTCTGACCACAATAAAGTGCCCAATCAAGTTGACCTCACCACCCAAATTACTTTCGTTGAAGCTCTCATATTCTCCTTGCTTTCATCACTGCAAGAGCCAATCTCAGAATTTTTAATTGTGGTGTCTATGAAATTAAATAGTTATAATACATGTAAACAATGAATTGTGAGCCAGTCATACACAATAAGACACGCCATATATTCCTGCATAGAAGTGTATTTAGACGTTGTGAATTTTCAGGTTTGGTTTTGGAAGACCAATGCAACTATACATTGTAGAGGTTGCACAAATGATTACTATTATTAGACAATTACTATGGCTATTGTCTGGCCATTCTATGCAATATATGTTCATAGGATTACTTGATAGAACAGCAATATATGTTCATTGGGACAAAGGGATTTTTTGGTAGCCAGGTTTTTAAAAGTGATAACCACGAAAGAAGCTAAAAATCAATAGAATTACCTCAATACCAACATGAAATGGGTCAAAGGAAAGCCATAGCTGATGAAACCAAAACCACGTGAGTTCATGGTATCAAGATCTCGCATGATCTGAAATGAAAAACCGTGAGAATATTACTCATATGCCTACCGCCGTTCTTTTTCACACAATAAATAACATATTGCTCATAGATTACAGATTACAGATAAACAAAGAAAAAATATTCTACTTCAGGATTAGATTTGATCCCTCCCAATGCGCTAAACGTATCATACAAAACCTTTTCATACACATCCTGTAAAAACAGAACCTGATAAGCTATTGTAGTTGACGCCAATATGTTAAGAGTAAAATTACATGCAAGAGATATACTTACATGGTCAAGGTTTCCAATGAGAAGGTTAAAACCAACATACAAACTCTTCTTATCTTGAGACGCCTAATACAATTTCAATCCAAGAAAAAAAATGTTAGCAAATTCCTAAGAGGGGTAACTCAAAACTCACAAGAGCCATCTGCGAGAGTTATAGTTCCGTGAGAATTTCTTATCAAGCCAAAGATAGAATGCTTGATAAGAGATGCTTCAGAAACAAACACGATGAGCTTAATCACGTTAAGAACCTTAATTGCTGCAGAAAAGATCTTACCATTTGAGCCAACAAAAGAAGTCTAAAACTTTTTCAAAGAAGAGAAGGAACATGAGTTACCTAGTCATCTTTTTCCTTGCTTCAGAGTTCAAAGCTGAATGAATCCATATCCTTTGTGAAGATTTATCGCCATTCAGGACATTGACATTAACTAAATCAAACCATTAATCAAAGGAGTTAATGTCAGAATGCTCACCAATTCTGACCATGGTAAGTATGACTATCAAGTTCCACGAAACAAAGCAACATTAGCTATTGAAGAAAAGAAGCGAGATTATTGATAATGAATCAAATGGAATTTACCTCATATCGTGAAGGAGAGTGTATGAAGTGGCCATCGTCGAAATTGCTGTTAGAACTAAAGATGCCTAAGATTCTTCTAGGCATCATTTGAGGTGCGCTTTCCATGGCTGAAAGGTGAGATATTTATAGTGGAGGCTTCAAGCAGTTTACTGTGGAAAACGAAGAGGTAGATTGAATGCTTCCTAGTAGGAGGAGTGGGCTAATCACACAAAAACCGGAAGTTAAGCACGAAGTAATGAGAGATGAAGACGTTACAGATTTCGGATCGGCGTTTCACTATCTGCAGGTTCGGTTGGCTGTGTGTGAGGGAAAGACGTAAGCGGCAGGATGAAGGATATTCTTAGGCCCAATCAGATTTTTTTTTTAAAAACAGACTCATTAACTCAGGAAACAACCGAGAGTAGAATGGTTTTTGGGGAGTGATGACATGGCTTTTTTTGCTCCCCTCACAAATGCTGATGTGGATGCGTGAGAAGGGAGAAAAGCCTACTTTATTGTATAAGATATAATATTATTTTCTAATGACGTTTAAATTAAATTATATACCATCTAAAAATATATAAAGTTTTTAATTTCAAAATTGCATGAGAATTTAATACTTTAGTTTCAAACTTTTAATTATTTTCTCTTAAATATTATGAACTACTATAAATATTAAACGTCTCAGTATTAAATATTATGTTATCAATGGTTTAAAATTTTATTATAAAATATGAAAATCATCATAAAACCATATATGAAGCTTCATTTAATAGATATACAAATTAAAAATATACTATATATATATGTTAATAATATTTATTTTCTAGATTTACTTATATAAAATGAATGTAAATAAACAAGTGTGACTTTATTATTTATGTGAGCACGTTAATTTTGACTATATACATACTAATTTTCAAAAAAAGAAAAAAATATATATATATTATAATATGTAAAAGAATATAGTATAAATAATAATACATAAAAATGACTGAAAGTAATTTTTATTTTCAATTCTTTAATTATTAGAAACGCGGATCTTAACCTAACCTACTATAGTAACGATATTATCTAGTTAACAACACACAAGGTTCCGGTTAAATATTTTGATTTTGGTGATATGACTTAGGCCTGGGCATTTTACCCAACCCGAAGATCCGACCCGGAACCGACCCGAAAATGTGCGGTTCGGGTATGAACTGAACCGATCATTTTACCCTATTGGGTCTTAATATGGAGGACCCGCGGGTCTTGGACCGAACCGATCCGAATCCGAGACCCGATGGGTACCCGAAATATCCAAAACTTCTAGTATATATTATGTATATATATATATATATTTTAGTATTTTTATGGTATTGTGAGTATTATTTTATGTTTCGGATTTGGGTTTTCGGATATAATTACGGGTTTTAAGTAAAATTTTAGGTTTTTAAAATATAATTCGAATAATCAGATAAATTTTTGGATATTTTTATGGCTTCGGGTCAGGTTTTGGGTAAAATTTCAGGTATTTTTTGGGTATTTAAATATTTTTCAGTATTTTTTGTGTGTTTTAGGTATTTTTTGGGCCATACCCGGTAGGACCCGAACCGTACCCGACCCAAAACCGAACCGAATCTGAACTGATAAATTCTAATTACCCCCACTGGATCCAACTATATAAGACCCGAATCGACCCGGACCCGGTAGGACCCAAACCGAACCCGAACCGACAAAGTCTAATTACCCTATTGGGTCTAAATATCTAAGACCCAAAGGATCCACACCCGACATGACCCGACCCGAACCCGATCCGAACCAGAGAATGCCCAGGCTTAATATGACTCATGTCTATTGCCTAATGGCCAATTGACCACTGACCACAGTACAATATACTAATATGGGCTTTTTGAAAGACGTAAAAGAGAACTAAGTGATAATAAACCTAATCATAAGCAGGCCGAAAATATGAGGCCCAAATATAAGAGCTCAATAAAGCTAAGATGGATGTTTTGCTGTCACATGTGTAATATATAAACACTCTTGTACATTAGGGTTTTATTCTTCCTTGAAGCTTTAGCCGTCGCTGCCTACATCCTTGCCTCACAGCAGACCAGCAGCAGCCATGGCGGAACAGGTTATTTGATCGTATTTCACTATTCTCTTATTACAATCGGTGATGATTCTAATTATGTTTCCTTCGTGTGTCATTTCCAGACTGAGAAAGCTTTCCTAAAGCAACCTAAGGTCTTCCTCAGGTAATTCCCCAATCCATTTGATTTAAAAGTTGCAATCTTTTTAAATATGTATATGATATGATTGTGTGTTTGTATCAGCTCGAAGATATCTGGAAAGGGAAAGAGACCTGGAAAGGGTGGAAACAGATTCGTTAAGAACATTGGTTTGGGCTTCAAGACTCCTCGTGATGCCATTCAAGGTTTTGTTTTAATTCTCTTAGCATTCTTAAACCCTAAGTAGGTTATTCTGCGTTCTCTCTGTTTACTAGATTTTGAATAGACACTGATTATGATATGGAATTAAATTACTCTCAGTAGTGTAAAGCTTTGTTTTTTAAAGTAATATCCTTAAAGTTAGGTTCTTTTAGTGAGTGTGTTTGTTTTTCTTACGGAACAGGAACTTACATTGACAGCAAATGTCCCTTCACTGGAACTGTCTCGATTAGAGGACGTATCTTAGCCGGTACTTGCCACAGTGCTAAAATGCAGAGGACCATTATTGTCCGAAGGAACTACCTTCACTTTGTCAAGAAGTATCAGAGGTCTCTTACATCATTTTGCTTCATGTTCATGTTACTCTTTGCATGAAGTTTTACAGAGTAGTGTTTTTTGTCTTTGTCAGGTATGAGAAGAGGCATTCAAACATCCCTGCTCACGTCTCACCTTGTTTCCGTGTCAAGGAAGGAGACCATGTCATCATTGGACAGTGCAGGTTATGATTCGTTTTATATCAACATAAAATGTGTCTTTTCAATTCTTGTTTTTGAGCAGTTGATTTTAATCTTTTTTTCTTTATCTTATTGTTGTTTTGCTGACTTCAGGCCTTTGTCCAAGACTGTGAGGTTCAATGTGTTGAAGGTGATACCAGCTGGTGCTTCTGCTTTCGCAAAGAAGGCTTTCACTGGCGCTTAAGAAGGAGCTTTTCATCTTAGTTTATGTTTCTTGATAGACCTGAACTCTGTTATTACCCTTTTATTTTAAAGGAGATTTTTACATTCAAGTTTCAGATTTTTAATGTTTTAATGCATGACTTTCGTTTAATTTTCGTCCCAATTTTGAAATCGTTTTGAGTAGCCTGCGTTTTATTTTCTTTCTCGAACATTTGAACTGATTGCTCCCGCCTGATTTGAGGTTGATGAGTTTCTGTAGATCTTTATTGAAGACATATACATCAAATTAGAAACGTAAGCTAAGTATTAAATGACTGCGAAGTATTAAAAATACAACTTATTAAAGTCTAATTATAATTATGTACTCTTTTATAGTCACTTCTGCCGTAAATTGAACAATTATCTCTTTGCACTTCGGACATCTTTAGACTCTCTTCACATCTACATTGACCGTTGTTCACTTAGGAGAATGTCGACCAAAAAACTGTCTGAAAATGAAGTACAAACGATCTCATCCTCCAATAATAAATCCGAGTTTGGTATGAAATGATCCATATAGTTGTTGTTTTCGTAGAAACGGTGGCCATACGTTCCAGCGACTCCGCTCTCTTCCGGTACAATATGGTCTTGAACATAACTACATTTTTGAGGTGATTGTTCCATAACCAAACTGCGATCTAACCATTCGGAGAACACAATACTTGGCGAAAAGTTTGATACTCTTGCACTAAATGATTCGCCAACACTGATGAAGGAAGAAGACTTCCTGGTTGTACTTTCCAAGGTATTAACTGAGTTTGTGATTGAATGTGTTTGAGGGGTTCTTGTAGTTTCATGTTTTGTGGAGGGTACACTCTTCTTTAGATACGTATGCCAATAGTTTTTGATCTCATTGTCCGTTCTTCCAGGTAGATATTTTGATATCTGAGCCCATCTTGTAAAAAAAAAATATAGAAACAATCATGAATATAGCATCATTTTAAAATCAAAGTTACCAAAATGCTCTATGTAGAAAAAAATTACAAAACATCAATATAAAAAGATGATTACCAGTTACAGAAAGTACATATTATCATATGATCACACAATGTATACCTAATTACACCAGTATGTGGTTAAAATTACAATATGTATCATTTCCATATAGAAAATGAACTTTATCTAATTTAAACCAATCCGATGATAAGTTTAATTGGTTTAGTGGTTGGTTTTCTATTCAAATCAAATTGTATTGACAATACTTTTTTTGAGCAACTATGTGCTGACAATACTATATTATCATATTTCTTACGTTCAATCTACTATTCTGGCAACAAAAAAAAAGTTTGATCATGATATTAACCATATACCGCATGTTAGTTAATATGCAATCATATTAGTCATATAGTAGATAATATATTAATATTGTCGACATGTATGGCCATGATCTATAGACTATAGTAGATGTAGTTGACAATTATTTTTTCCAATACAACTTTAAACATCAAATTTAAGTTCGAAAACTAACCGTATAACTCCTTAACTCTAACTTACTACTCTCAGTTTCTTAATCGTAAATGGTTAATTTTCTAATGTTTCATTTCTTCATTTAGTTTCCCATATGGACGTATTGTCAAATCGACCTTGAATGTACAGTTTTTATATCAAGACTTGAAAGACTTACTTGTTACCCAATATAGAATGGAGTGAGAGAAGTATGGTTTCTTCTTCTTTAGTGAATTCACCCTTCTTAAGTCCAGGTCTTAAATAATTAACCCACCTTAGCCTACAACTCTTCCCATTCCGCTGCAATCCTAAAATAATTAAACATTTTGTTTAATCAAAGTCTTTGTCAGTACATTTAATCATATCTTCTATATACGCACGAGTCTAGTTGATTTCTGTCTATGTTGACAATATGGAAACAACCTATCTATTTATTTACTGTACTAACTCAGAAAATAAGGATAACTAAAAGACGGATAGGATATTAGCTAAGAGTTACCAGCTTGAATAGGAATAGAACTCCAACATCCATGGCCGTATTTGAGCACATGATTCCTAAGCTTCTCGTCTTCTTCTGGTGACCATAATCCTTTCCTTTGCTTCTCCTTGGATTTCAATTTTTTGTTTGTTGTTTCTGATGATTTACACACCATTTTTATTTTAATTAATTTACTTGAATATATATATATATATATATATATATATATATATATATATATATTTTATACGTATATGATACTGAAAGTAAGTGTATATAAAATATATGTAGAGTCGAGATGACAATCTTTGACACTGATACGTTGTTCGAAGTGGGGGAAATATATAGGCAGTTGTGAAGAGACGTCTTCTTTTTAATAGCATAACAAGATTAGCGACAAAAATAAGAGTTATCGAATTCATAATTGTGTAGAACTATTCAAATGAAAGAGAGCTTGTTCTACACGAAAGAAATATATATCTTTTCTGAAACCAAATATTATATAGATTATACCTCGCATTTGAAACACCGCACCTAATCTTTATTAGGTGGAGCCAAACCCTTTGAATTTCAGTGTCATAATTTCAATAAGACAATGCACTGGTGATTTAAATAAAAAAATATTTTTGTGTACGAAATTATTGTTTATGGAAAATCAGACATATACTTCACAATTTGTCTTTGTTTTCCTTGCCTTTTCAAATTACTGTTAGGGTAGCTGGTGGGGTTATTTATTTGCTTGTAATTAATTTATCTTCTACGAAAAAGGAAATGCTTGCAAATTGCAGTTGATTAGTAACTTGATTAGCCTCTGATTTTTTTCCACCGTTAGTGGTATAATTTGAATGATGGCATAACAAATGATATTCAAGCGAACAAACTGTGTAGCAACATAACCAGAATGATCGAAAGTATACTTAGATGTACCTAACAAATCTTGGTTGATTGTTATACGTACTAATGAATTAGCTGATAGATTAACGATTAAGTAAACCAGCGGTAACTAATCTTATCTACTAAATCGATCAGCATGTCTACTGTCTACAAGATAATTCGACGATGGATGGTTTACTGAAATCGAGACGGTTAAAAACGACTAGCATGCTAGTCGACCATGCATTGGTGGACATTTTCAGTAATTCACCAAGACCATGAAATGATCAAGTAGAAACCAGAAACCTATTTTAATGTAGCTTCTATACTCTTTTTTTCTTGGATCAACATGCAGTTTCTATACTCAAGTCTCGGAAAATCTGACAAAAGAATACTTAATGAGCATTTAACGACAAACATGCACCACATCCTTGATCAAACACAATTGACAAAGGGGTTATAACAACTTAAACATGTTTCTTTCAGTCAGAAGGATGGAAAACTGCGATTGTGATGAAGATTTGAATTATGGTTTGGTACAAGATCAACCAGCTAATGCAGTATGATTATTCTTTTCTTTTTTTTCTTTAATATGTTGCATTTGATATAAACCAAAAGCTTTGATTTTGATAAATTTTGACATTTAAAAAGAACTTTGAACTATTCTTATTGGTTCTGCACAGAAATATTCCAATTCAACTGTTTGATGTATTATTTTTCGTAAGGATAGAGTTGAAGAAGACTTTGCAATCTTTAACTAACACATACTTGCCTTCCTCAAGAAAAACTCTTGCAAGATATGAATAACAAACTTAACTATTGATGAACTGGCTTTTGTTTTTGTTTTTTATATTTCAGTTATAATATTTACTTGTTTAAATTACGAAGTTAATTATTAAATTAATAAAACATGGGTTGACAATGACATTCAGTATAATCACATTTTCTATTTGTTTTGTTCTTGTGTCACCACATAAACTCACATTCAATAGAATCCTCGCATCTTATATCGACCGGAAATAAATTATTGGTTTAACATTAACTTAAGCAACTTGTTTTTTTTTCTGTAACAATGATGTGATTACGCTAACAAGATGATGACATATAATATGATTATTTTGGTAATATATATATATATATGTGTGTATTGAGCTATAGCCTTTCTAGACTATATACAAGTTCTAAAAAAACTAAGAAAAAAAAACTGAAAATGATGTAATATCGTGGCAATTATATGACTCTATATATGATTGTAGAGTACATAGGTTTATGAAATGGGTTTAAGAAGACGATATAAGTATCACTTTTTGTAGTATCTTCAACTACAAAAGCATTAAATTGTTTATAGAATACCTCTATATATGATATTTGATAAAATATTAATGCCTCCATTGCAAACACCTAAGTAACCGACAGTTGAATGACGTTAGCTGCGGATTAATTATATATACTATACTATTGTAAAATAATTAGTTAGATAGCTTTGTTGTTTTAGTTCAAGATTCCATATCGTTTTTCTACTATAAATGTAGTTGAATGGTAACACATGTACATTTTCTTTGAATCGCTTACAGTTTCACTACCATAGTCACGTATGTCTATTGTAAACTAGCATTAATTATCAATCAACTAATAGAAATTGATATATAGAAACTAAAACAAGTATTGTTTGGAGTTCAACCCTTGCCCATTCGGCCATTTGCGGATACAAATGACAAAATATTCAATTGTGATAGTAACAGTACATTTCTGTTCTTTCGTGAATCAAATGCTCTAGTATTTCTGTCCGACAATTTTTGTTCCTAAATACTTCTGCCTGAAATATACCTCCAAATAAATCCGATTAAATTTTTATTTAAATAGGAAAATTTAGGAAAAGAGCAGAACAACGAAAGAAACTCGAACAACCATGGGTATTTTACGAATTATCCAGACCCGAATCATAAAATTCGGATCTCCAGTGTCCATAACTTCAGAAAAATTACTGAAACTTTGTGTAATTATATAACTTGGTGTAAGTGTAACTGTAATCTAAGCTGAACTAATTCACACTTGTAGTAACTATACAACTTAGTAAACATTCAACTAATTTTCATTGTATCCTATACATTTGCAATATGTTATTGATATATTTAGTGATAACATATCGATTCAACTTTGATTACAGTTATCCAAAACATATAAAAATAATTATTCTTTTGCATTATATTACTGATATATTTAGTGAAATTAAAATAAAATAAAACTATAGACATTACATCAAGGAAAATGTATTTTACATAAAATTCAGAAAAGTACATAACGGAGCATGACATAACGTATAAACACACGGAAATTACTTCATCTCTAATCTTCAATTGGCCACTGAGCAGTGGTCAAATGAATATCATTGCAGAAGTCCCAAAATGCACATTGTCAGAAACAACGATTGCATTTCCACCGTGTTCTTGATCCATCTAAGGAGACAACAAACACCGGTTGTATCATTTCAAAGCATCAACAATTATAATTAATGTTGGGATCTATCTTTTCCAATAGGGTCATAAAGATATGTGGGTTTTCGTAACACCAATGACCTGAGGATACCTCAGTAGCGATCATATGATCCATCTGATCATCAAACTCACATGTAAAAGTAGGAAAGTTGTGAACAAGTCATCTATCATCAACATTAAATGCTAAGTTGAGCATATCATCAACGTACTTGGTCAACAAATTCTGATCCTCAATTAATCTAGTCCAATTAGAATTGTAATTTGGAATCTTTGTAAATCGTTCGTGTATGGTGGATTCTAAACATTGGATTATGACGAGTTTGGAACGATTTAAGATACATACTTTGTCAATAGAATCAATAGTTCAATGATTCAACATCCAAGCAGACAAATTCAACCGAGCTAAGCGATGATAATGAGGAAGAATAAGAAAGAAACGAATCCCACGGATGAGAGAGAGAAAAAACATATCACTCCCGATTTAGAAATAAAAATAATTCAGAGAATTCTCGATTTTGATTGGTCATTAATTCGGTCAGGTAAGTAGGGGCACTTTCGACATTAATCACCTATATAGAGAGTATCTATACTATTATATAAGAAGTAATTTTGCTTAGTTGTCATGTTCTCCATAATTTTAGGTAATTTTGTTTATTTATCATATTTTTAATATTTATATATTTTTTATTTATAAATAAAATGAATTTATATGAATATATCATATTTGTTAATAATAAGATAATTCTTATCATATTTTTAGTAAATAAGATAATTCTTGTGAGTTATGTTGTAATCTTAAAATATATTTTTATATACAAAAGTTAAATTTTAAATTAAGTTATAAAAACTGTTATATTTATCTAAAACGAATTTATATTAATAATTCAATATTTAAATATAACTATAACGAATTTATATTAATAATTTAATATTTTCCGAAAATAAGATAATTATTATGTTTTATGTTGTTATATATTTTATTATTATAAAATTTAAAATTAAGATATAAAATTATATTTTTAATAATTAAACATAAATCATAATTAAATATAAATCATCAAAACAATTATTTGAAAAGTGAATTTTTGGATTTGTCTCTATGATCCTAGGTAATTTTGATCACTTATCAGAATTTCGATAATTTTGTTTATTATTGATTATATAATTAAAACTAATTTATATTAATAATATGATATTTTAGAAAATAAATTAACTTATGTATTATGCTCTTATCTTGAAAATATATTTTTCTATTATAAAATTTAAAATTAACATGTAAAAGTCTATACTATTATTTAAGATGTGAATTTGATGTTTGCTGATTTGTCATATTTTCCATGATTTTAGTTAATTTTGATAATTTATCATAATTTATATAATTTTATATATATTTAAAACAAATTAGATTCTTCGAAAATAAGATACTTCTTATATATTAAGGTACTGTTTTGGAAACATATTTTTCTATTAGAAATTTAAATTAAGCTATAAACAATTGTAGTTAGTCTATAATTGAAATAAATTTACACTAATAATATTATATTTTTTAAAAATAAGGTAATTCTTATGTATTATGTTGTTATCTTAAAAAATATTTTTATATTATATAATTTAAAAGTAAAATAGAAAATTATCTATTATTAATTAAATATAATTAATCACTCAAGAAAAATTATTTAAGAAGTGAATTTGCTAAGTCATTAAGTTCTCCATGATTTTAGGTAATTTTAATTATATGTCATAATTTCTATAATCTTATATAATTATTATACAATTAAAAAATTATCATATTATATTTTTAGAAAATAAATAACTTATGCATTATTGTTATCTTGAAAATATGTTTTCTATTATAAAATTTAAAATTAATATATAAATATTATAATTAAATATAAATCAAGAAAAATAGTTATAGAAATATATTCTTTTAAATATTTCTGATGTTTGAGTTTTGTCATTGATAATTATTTGATGTTTGATTTTTACTTTTTGAAAACATAAATAATAACTTATTATGCTGCTTTTTAAATTAATGAAACATAAACTAATAAATATTCATAAAAGAATTATGTCCGCAAGTGCGGGCAAAACACCTAGTTAGAATAAAAAGAATTATGTGAGAATGAATAAAAAATATGACAAAGTAAATTTTGCCTTATTAAAAACATTCTAGCTTTTCACTATTCTTTCGTCAATGTCAGCTAAAAACTACATATGCCCTTTTGTTCACCAGGAGGTGTCGATCAAGGACAGTTTACTTATGAAACATAATTGTCCTATTTAATCAATGACAATATAGTTTCGCTAAATACCTCAGGGTTTGCTTATTGGTGTATATATTAATAACATAGATATCCCACGTTGCGTAAGTAATTTGAGTCAACTATGTAAAAGTCATGGACACAAACATGTTTCTGAATCTAAATCTGGATTACAAACAGCGTCATCACGAATACATAAACACCGTCCGTACATTTTAAATGATGTTTAAGTGACGATGATTAACAATAATTATAAACGGCATTTTTTGTTGTTTGTTAGAGTTTGTAATAATGGCTATAAATCATAATCTGATGATAAAATACTGCGACTTTGTCTTTTATATTAATTATTATGATCCAAAAAGAAAAAAAATAGAGGCAAAGCGACGCAATAGGCGATTCTTCAAAACCACCGATAAACTCGTTTCATTCACGAGAATCTCGTTGCCGGCGGCTTCAGCCGTCGGTTTCTTTCTTTTAATTTTCAGTTCTATTAATAAATGATGTTCGCTTCTGTATTTCTTTGGGTGAAACGCCTGTATCGTCGACGATCCCACCATCATTGTCTTCCGCTTTCCGATGCAAATTATGTGTTGTCGTTATCTTCGTTGGTGATTGAACTTCTTCGATTCAGTCGGTTAGTGGAGTTGGCCTCCGTCGTTGTCTTCGGCGTGATAATGTTCCCTTTAATAGGGCGTGATTTTCCGGTATGTACTCCTCATATTACTGTCGGTGTCTTTCCATCAACTTCCAAGGTTGGTGATGTCTTTCCGGTGATAGAGATTCATTTAGTCAATCTTCAATCCATCGGTTTTTGTTTGTTAGCGTTACGGCTTAACGGTTATTACCGATTTCAATTCGTGACGCGAATCCTCAAACAGCCATGGCCACCACCAGGCTTCTTCTCCAGTGATCAATTTTTTTCAGTTGCTATACTGAGAAAGGGATGGGCTATGGCTTCCTTGGCTAAAGAAAACAAAGGAAACTTACATGATACTATATTTGCTGTAAAAGAAAGACTAATCAGCACATTACGGGGCATTATGATAACTCACGAAGACAGCACTAAGACATCATTGATTTCATTGGGGAGCGAAGATTCTAAAGCAATAAGGGGTCAGATGTTACTATAGCTTTATTGGTTTCAAAGCAAAAGAACTTCAATGCCATGGGTAATTACAACAAAGCATGTTATCTTCTGCAGCAACGGGAGTGTTTGGGACGGATTACGATGTAACAGATGGATCGAATCCAATGATCTTTTTAGAGAAAAAATGGTATTTCCTCACAAAATTGAGAGCCACAAAAAAGATCAACAAAGACCAAGAACGAAGTAGAGTAAAGCTAGCGAATCAGCCTATCCTACGAATGCATTTGGAAGCATCGTGTTATTGCTAACTCTGTTACAAGTTCTTTTAACAACATGTTTGATGTAATCTGTGATTCATGTAATATGTTACATTGATTTGATATCAATAAAGTTATGATGTTATAAAAAAAAGAAAATTAATTATTATGATCCTTTTATAATAGGGTTGTCTCTTTCGTGAATCGTTTTTTCTTGTAACCAAAAGATTTAAGAACAGTGTCTTTTTTTTTGTAACACTTCAAGACCAGTGTCTAAACTAATCATCGATCTCTACATCCGTCATATAAACTATGCAATGGCCACAAATTATATAGAAGCAATTGATCTCTAATCTCAAACAAAAGGACAATAGTCTGAAGTTCCATCAGTTATTTACTCTTTTTTTCTTTCACGGTGTGAAGAAGAGCTGAGCATATTATCAGTTGAATTTGATCCAATCTATTATTTGTTTTGATTCGATCTGAAAAATTTGGATATCCGTAAAATTTTGAATCAAAGCAAATAGAAAACATGATATCCGTAAACGAAGAAAATCACAAAAACTATTTTTAGAAAATCAAATACCCATCCTATTAATATATTTATAGATATGTAATGTAATTGTATATACAAACCATTACATATATACATATTTTATGATATAATTTGGTTAGTTTTTTTAGACTGAATATTGGGTTGACTTTTATTTTAATTTTGTTTTCCCAATTTTGTTTTTGGATTATTGCATATCCAATTTCATTTTATGTTGAGTCGAATGTTAACCTATGAGTTTTTTATTAGGCTTGCTATTATTGATTTTTTTGTCTGACAATTTCTGTTAAAAATGTTAGTAAGTTAGTATGATATAGTTATTTTTACTACAAAAAACACATGAATTGTATCACATAAATAGTATCAGAAAAATAGATACTAGTTTGAATTGTTTATTAACAAATGATACAAAATATGTGTTTATAACATCAGTTATAATAAATGATGTTTTATTAATTTAGTTAGTATCATTTTAATGAAATTGATAGAAATCTATAATCATTTACATAATTTATTGAAAAATGATACAAAATATTAGTTTGCATCATTTAAATAACTGATGTGGATACAAATTTGTCTTAGTATTACTTGTAGAAATGATACAAATTTAACATCATTTAAATAAACGAAGCAAAATCTTACATCAATAGTAAAATTATACAGGACAATCCAGCTAGAATAAATTTGTAGGTAGTTACGTGAAAAACATTTAGGTCAAAATATTCAATGCTATTAATATAAAACTATATCATAAAATATATATATATATATATATATATGTGTGTGTATTAACTAATTTATATTATTTTAATAGTACTCGTTATTATAACTAATGTAGTTATAATTACCTTAACACATCAGTTCAGTAAAATGGTATACTAATTGTTAATTTATATCATTTTTTTGGTAAAATTGTTAATTTATATCATCTTAACAAATAATACTTTTACATGAATTTAATCAATTATATTTTATGCATGTATCCTTTTTTAATATTATTTATTAAATGATACAAAATATGTTCACAAATATAAATTAGTACTATAAAATTATATTAATTTTCCTCTCTAAACGAACCCCTGCAATTTCATTTCCTTCTTTCTCTCTAACCATGTTCTCCTATTTTCTTGCTATCCCTCTCCTTTTATTTCCTTGTTCTCTCCCTAATCTCGTAGAATTTGAGAAGATTAATCTCCTCTCTCTTAAGCATTAAAACTTGAGAAAATTAAACGACTTCTTAACTCTATAACTGTTATAGCTGTAGGGAACTCTGACGTTGTTCGAGTCATTGGCCGAAGAATTTGCTAGTCATCGCCAATGTTGTTACCAGGTGAAAAACATGAAAATCTCTATGACTATCTTCTCTGCTTCCAATATCTCTTCTGCTTCTTATGGTAAAACTATTACGAATATGTTGATTTTGTTCAGATTTGATTTTGGCTTACTTACTGCCTTGTTGACACAAGACGTTGGACTTAGTTGGCATCGTGCAAGTCCATTGAGGAAGACAAGCAGTTTTCCATTATTTATGAACAAAAAAAATGTAGTCTTCCCACTACAAGAAAACATGGCATATTCCGAGAAACATTCCAACGGCCAACGAGTTCCTCGAAAAATTCCGATGGAACTCCGACGGCAGTCCAAGGAAACACAAATTTTACGTTTCCTCGGAAGTTCGTCGGAATATTTCGAGGGAATTCCGAGGAACACACATTCCGTCGGGATATACCGAAGACATTCCGAGGATTTATTATAGCCGTTGACGAGCCGTTGAAAAAGTTCAAAAATTCCGAGGATTTTACATTTCCCTCGGAATTACATCGGAATATTCCGACGGAATTCCGAGGGATATTTATGACCGTTATATATTCCGACGAAATTCCGACGGATATTTCTAACCGTTGTATATTCCGACGGAATACTAAATTTCCGTCGAAATTTCCTCGGAATCGTCGGCAACATTTCATCTATAAATACAAGCACCCCTCCTCTCCTTTCATTCACTCAATATTCTCATCCTCTCACTTATACACACGAATCTGGTTCACAAAAACATCTCTTTTTCAAATTATTATCGTTCATGGATGGATCGACCTCATTTGGATCCCGACACAAAATTACTTACGGAAGAATACCTTAAAGGCATTAGGGAATTAATGGCGGTAGTTCAACGACAACCGGAAGCAAAAACAGGAATATTAAGATGTCCTTGCTCTACTTGTAAAAATAGAAAGGTTATAAAAGAGTGGGATGTTTGGACTCATCTATATTTGAACGGGTTTACATGAAGTTACAAAATTTGGTATCATCACGGGGAAACTGATTATGAATATGGTAGTACTAGTGAACGCCAGACATCGGATAGGTTAGAAGAACCAATTAGAACGGATGTAGATTTTGGTGTAGGTACTGAGCAGATGGTAAATGATCATTTTAGAGGGGAGGAATTACCCAATGTAGAAGCTAGGAGATTTTTTGATATATTGGATGCAGGAAAACAACCTTTGTACCAAGGTTGCAGAGATGGTCATTCACCTTTATCATCTGCAACAAGACTGATGGGCATTAAAATTGATTATAATTTGGCTGAAGAATGTGTGGATGCGATTGCTGATTTTGTAAAGGGTATTCTACCAGAGGATAATCTAGCCCCGGGTTCATACTACGAGGTTCAGAAACTCGTTGCTGGTCTTGGTTTATCGTATCAGGTAATAGATGTATGAATCGATAACTGCATGATATATTAGAGGGCGGATGAGAACCGGGTTACATGCAAATTTTGTGGGAAGGCTCGTTATAGAGATACGAGTGGAAGACTTCCAGTGCCATATAAAAGGATGTGGTATTTGCCTCTGACGGAAAGGTTGAAGAGGTTGTATCAATCTGAACGCACAGCCCAACCAATGAGATGGCATGCGGAACATTCGACAGATGGTGAGATTAGACATCCTTCAGATGCAAAAACATGGAAGCATTTTCAATCAACATATCCAGAATTTGCGTCTGAGAGAAGAAATGTCTACCTTGGATTATGTACGGATAGTTTCAGCCCATTTGGCAAGCATGGGAGACAATATTCTCTATGGCCACTCATTCTTACACCATACAACTTACCGCCAAACTTGTGATTGCGTCGAGAGTTTTTGTTTCTCTCCATTCTCGTTCCTAGGCCAGAGCATCCTAGGAGATCACTTGATGTGTTTCTTCAGCCACTAATATATGAGTTGCAACAACTATGGGCTCAAGGTACTGAAACATACGATGTTTCGTGTAAGAAAAACTTTCAAATGCGGGCAGTACTTATGTGGACTATAAGTGATTTTCCAGCATTTGGTATGTTATCTAGATGGACAACGCATGGAAGGTTATCATGTCCACATTGTCAAGATAACACAGATGCTTTCCAACTAAACCACGGAAGGAAAACGTGTTGGTTTGACTGTCACAGGATATTCTTACCACCTGATCATCCATATCGTAGGAGTAGGACTTTGTTTACGAAGAACAAGAGGGTGTTTGACAGTCCACCCCCGGAAATTTGTGGGGCAGATTTGTTGACACAGCTAAGAGATTTTGGTACTGAAAGGACGCCGGACGTTGGTGGACATGTTCATTATCCAGTAGATGCTGTTGGAGAACTACATAATTGGCACAAAAGGAGTATCTTTTGGGATCTGCCATATTAGAAGGATCATCTGCTGCGGCATAATTTAGATGTCATGCATATTGAGAAGAACTTTTTTGACAATCTTATGAACACGATCCTTAACGTCCAAGGTAAAACGAAAGATAATTTGAAGTCAAGACTAGATTTAGTCGATATATGTGATCGTTCCGAACTTCATGTTGATGAGAATGGTAAGGCTCATGCTCCCATATACCGACTGGATGCAGCGGGAAAAGATGCGTTCTTTGATTGGATTACAAACGATATGAAATTTCCAGACGGTTATGCATCCAATTTGGCTAACTGTGTAGAGAGAAATGAGGGAAAGATTATCAATCTGAAGAGTCATGATTGCCATGTAATGATGCAGCGCCTCCTTTCGTTTGCCTTCTCAGAGTTATTACCACGAAAGGTTCATGAAGCAATTGCAGGGATAAGTGATTTCTTCCGTGATTTATGCTCAAGATCAGTGACTCCAGAAGGTATCCAAAATTTGAAGAATAACATAGTTGTGCTCCAGTGCGACCTAGAGAAGATATTTCCCCCAACATTTTTTGATGTTATGGAGCATCTTGCTATTCACTTGGCAAGGAACTTGGTGGTCTTGTGCAGTATATATGGATGTATCTTTACGAGCGGTATATGTATCATCTGAAGAAGAAGGTCAAAAATTTAAGTAGGGTCGAAGGTTCTATAGTCGCACAAATGATCAATGAAGAAACTTCAAACTTTGCTGAGTCCTACTTTCCAGCCGAAGTTGCAGACAAAAAATAGAAGACCTGTGCGTCATGATGATAGAGGCGAAAGAGCAACATATTATGTTACGGTTCC